CCTCCCTCTTTCCCCCTCCTCCCTCTTTCCCCCTCCTCCCTCTTTCCCCCTCCTCCCTCTTTCCCCCTCCTCCTCTCCTCCTAAATGACTGAAGTTCATATGAAAGGAACAGTAAACAAAGGCAGCTGTGGACCCAGTCTCCCAGAAGGCCCCCAGCCCCCCCCCCGCCCTGTCCCCACTGCACATCTGTGCATCCGTCCCGGATGGTACTGCAGAGGAGACAGCTCTCCCTTCCAGGTGGGCAGTCAGGACCCCCGTCTTCGTTGCTCCCTGATCTCTGGGGAGAGCCCGCCGCGTGCAGGTAATAGAGGCCGGTGCAGGGAGGCAGGGAGGCCTCCCGCCCCAGTGCAGCCTTCAGATGACTGCAGTCCGGCTGACCCCTTGGTGCCAACTAAGGACAGGGCCTGAGGCAGAAGCAGCTGCTCGAGTTCTCCCAGAGCCGCGAGGCTGTGAGGTCACACGCGTTTGCTGTCTCAAGGCACTAGACTTTGGGGTCATTTGTTACGCAGCCACAGATGACTAATAACAAGATCTGCATGGAAGAGTAACGGAGGGGCTGACGTTCCAGATCTGAAGACACCATCATTATAGAGCAAAAGTCCCCCAAACCACGTGGTTCTAACCCCAAGATGTGCTTCACTCAGGTCAACAGATGAGAAGGGAGAAAGCAGAGGCGCTGCACACAGAAGACATGGACACCACAGCAAATCCTTGGGGGAGAGAAGGAATCGTCAGTAATAGTCCTGAGAGTGTCAGTAAACTGTTCGGGGGAGAAGGGGGATGACCTTAGGGCACCCCAGTCCCAAAATAAACCCCAGATGGAAAACTAGAGATGGTAAGCACGTAAAGGTGTGAGACACCCCAAGAGGCGTGGGCGGGCCAGGCGCGCTGGGACGGCTCCACGGCCTGATGGTGCCAGGCCAAGGGTCCCTCCCTCCTGCTGGAGAAAGTGCCTCTGTCACCCACCCTAGACCTGTCTCTGGTAGGTGCATCGAGCTGGGAAGATGGTCACATGTGTTGTAACTGAGGTGATCTCACAGTCCGAATGTGTCCCAGGGAAAGAGTCACAGAGGTGGCACCATATTGACACAGCCTGAACATCCAGTAATAGACGTGACGAGATGTCACTTCAAATTCTTGAAGTGCGACGTGTCCACAGTACGGGGAAACTGAAGATCATGTTGCCAAAGACTGACCACATCGGAAATACTTGAGATGTAATATAAAATGAGAAAATAGGACACACACATGCTCACACACACACCTGGGGCCACTCTAACGCTGACAGGGAAGATTCCCGGGCGTTAGTTAATGGGGATCGTCTTTTACTGATTCATATTTTTGTGTGTTTTCCAAACGTTCTGCAGTGAACATGGGTTATTTTTATCATCATAAAAAGAAACAAACAGCATATTTTTAAGAACTGCACCACCCAGTAGCAATCTGGTGATAAAGATCTGCTTTGAGCTCCTGGTATCCGGTTTCCCAGACTGACCTGTCATGCGAGGTGCCGAGTCTCCTCTCCCCGCGTCCCTATAATGCCTCCGTTCTGGGCACAAGCACCGCGTTGTGTCCCAAGGGAGGCAGCTCTCTGTGACAGGGGCCTGTCATCAGAAGACGCTGTCCTCATTTCCCCCAGCTGGACTGGGTACACTTGAACCCTTCGTGTTCTGGCTGCAAGCAGAGGGCAGACTGACCCCTCTGTTCCCCCTCCAGCGGTCCCCCAGGGTGGTCCTGGATAGGTGAGAGCCGGAGACATCCATGAGTACCTGCCTTCCCCCCTGCAACCACTTGAGGCTGATGCTGAAGGCTGGGGGAACATTCTGGGACTATCTGAAGCAGGGGCAGGGCTGGGCTGGACTGATCTTGGTTGTGCTGTGCTTTGCTGGGTAGAGCAGAGCTGGGCTGAGCTGGGCTGAACTGGGCTGAGCTGGGTAGGGCTGAGCAGGGCTGAGTAGGGCTGAGCAGGGCTGGGCTGGGCTGGGCTGGACTGGGTTGGGCTGAGCAGGGATGGAATCTGGAGACACGAGTGAGCAGAGTATGGAAGCACCTTGCAGACTGGTAATCGACTAGTCAATCTCAGCACCAATGCGTGTAACTGCTGAGTTCTCAACGAGACTGCACACATCGCGAGAGCAGGGACTGGGCTTCCCGGCTCACAGCCATGTCCTCAGCAGGTGGCAGGGCCAGCAGCTGTGCTAGCAGCACAGGTGTCATCCATCTGGGAATCAAGTTGTTTTGATCCCCCGACACCCTTGAGAAGTTACTGAACTCCGCCAGGAGCGAGGGCTGTCGCACGGGGATCCACCAGGCCGTCTCTGCCCCGTAACAGCAGCCACCCAGTCCCAGGTGGGTAGCAGGAGGCCTCCGGCAGACTCGGCCCTCCCTGACCTTGCACATCCCAGCACACTGCAAAATGGTGGGTGAAGGAAGGCGGGGTGACAGGCGGGCCCTCCCCTGGCCGCCCCAGGCTGCGGCTTCTCTCCCGTGCACCTGCAGGTCCTCGGCTGGGAAGTTCTGCTTGGACCGCTGCCGAGAGATGTCCGGAGACCCCGCCTCCGTGGCCCGGGTCCAGGGCCCAGTGGAGAGTGGACTTGAAGGCTTCCCCGGGGACCATGGTGAAAGCGGCCACAGGGGAGGCTGCGAGCCGCCGCTGTATTTTTAGATGACCCCATTTCTTTGCCGTCTTTGGCTTTCACAACTAATGAGGACACCAGGGCTGCCCCAAGGCCAAAGCCACGATAGGACCTGGGGCCTCATAACCCAGTGTCCCTGTCACCAGCCTGGAGGGGCACTCAGGGTGCCTCCTTTCCTCTCTGGGCACCACTTTAACCACCAAAGACTCCCCTCTCGCCAACCTGGACCCCGAGTTCTGAAAGCCCTTGCTCACCAGCCTGCAAGTCTGCACGAGAGCCACTGTCCCCTGCTGACAGATGAACAAAGGCCACTGGGGTGCCTGGCAATGACCATTAGAGAGGCCAGTACTTGCCAGACCCTCCTGCCACCCAGGCCCTGAGCCGGGGCCCCCTGTCCTGGCCCCTGGGGCCCAGGGGACCTCACCCTTCCTGACGTGGCCAATGTGGGCTTTCAGAGCCGACAGCCTGAGAGGAGCGCCATCTCTCGCCCCCACTGGCCCCTCCCGCCCTCCCCCTCCCAGTGCAGACAGCAGCTAAAAATACCCTTCTGTCCGCCCCCACGTGGTGGCCAGCCCCGCCCGCCCGCCCGGCCCCCTGTGCCTCTCGCTGGCTGGGAAGTCAAGTCCTATTCTCCGGCCTGAGTTCTTAGAGGTCCAGGGGCCGACAGAGAGGTAGGATCCGAGGGGCCCCGGAGTGCGGGCTTCCGGGAACAGGAGGAGGGACCTGGGGCGGGGAGCGGCAGGGGAGGGGGGCCTGCGGTGAGACAGCCCGCTGGGTGCCGGGATCACAGGGTTGGGGAGAGACCCCCACACCCGGTCAGGCTGGGCCCCTCGGGGTGTGGCCAGGGCTCAGCTGACACACTCCCCTCCGTGTTCTCTCCGGAGAGCTGGGCAACAAGGGGCCTGATGACACCCTCCAATGGCCACCAGGACCCCAGCATTTAGTCACTGGCTGCCACTGGCATAAGGCCCTTGCTGTCCGGTCTGCTCAGCCCTCCTCACTCCTGGCCCGGACGGGCCCCAGGCTGAGGCTCTGGGTTCTCAAGAACCCCCACCCCGTGCGTGTACTGGGACCACAGGGTGGCAGGCGTCACCTTCAGACGTTGCTGAAGCCCAGCGAGAAGGTGGGAGACACTCTGCCCACCGGCCCCTGCAGCTGTGGCAGCTGGCCTCAGGGGACCCAGCAGTGATGGGAACGCGTCTCCTGTCCTTGCTCGGCTGGAGGGCCTCCCTGGAAGGAGGTGAGGCAGGGCGGGTGCTGGCCGGGGCCCCTGACCTGTCCTGTCCCCTAGGTGGGCTCCCCGGGCACTGCCCTGCTCCGTTGGGGCACCAGTGTGGGGAGGGGAAGGGCCTCGGGTTCCCACCACAGCCACAGCCACAGACGAGAGCTCAGCAGGGGGGGCCTCCTGCCCCTTGGCATCCACCGTCCATGGTTCTCTTTCCCGGCTTTGTTATTTTGATCACACTTATTGCAGCAAGCCTTTGGTCCGCCAGGATGTCTGGTCCTTCTTCCATTTGTGGCTCTGGAAGGCGCCCCTGGTGGACAGACCGTTTCCCTAGGGTGTAGCTTATTTGTGGTGGCAGGCAGTGCTGGGTGAGACTTAGGGCAGCTTTCTTAGGGCAAAACGTCAGGACCACATAAATGAATATATGCACATAATTAAATAAGCCCAGAAGTGGATTTGCCGAATCAGACGATGTAAACACTGATTCGACATCACTCTCCAGAACGTTCCCCATAATCCTGCTTGTCTTTACCAACCTGCGCCCAAGGACCCATAGCCTGGGGCTTCAGCGCATGGGCTGAGCCTGGCTCGCGCACTGCCAGCTGTGTGCTCTGGGACAAGTGACTTGTGCCTCCCCACCTTCACTCGGGCCCTCGTAGCACACAACAGGGTTGTCGTGCGGCCTGGCCATGGAGACCACTGTGTCCGTGTGCTCTCAGAGTCCCTCTCCCCCCAGCTTCTGGATCTTCACTCCAGAGAACAGGGACCAAGATCACCCAGCAAGGTCATGGCAACCCAAGGTTCCACAGAACCACAGACAGTGAGGATCGGTGGGGCAGAAAGCTCTCAAATACCCTTGTCACCGTCCCAGCAAAGTCCGGTTTGGGAGGAGAGGAAGCCACGTGGACGTGGGGGGTGGGCCACAGGGATCCTTCCCCATGCTCCAGGAGGCGTGGCTCTCTTGCTGGCCCCGTCCTGCCCTGGTTGCCTGGCCAGGGGTAGGTCTCTGACCCTCTCTGAGCCTCAACCTTCTCACTGTGAAATGGGACTAACACTGAGCCCCATCTCACAAGGCTACGGGGCTGGGTGAGGTGAGACGCTGGGCGAAGGACCGACAACGAGACGGCCAGACAGCCAGTCGGGTGGGCGATCAGGCGGATGAACCCGCGCCCTACCCCAGGGACCCTGCCCCAGCCGACCTTGACCCTCTGCCCCCGCCCCTGCCGCCCCTGCTCTCTTCTCTCCCCAGGGTCTCAGGCGGGGCCAGCCTCCTCTTTCCCGTGAGCAGTGGCCTGCAGGGGCCCCACGCCGGCGCTGGCAGCCATGGTGCGGAACGTGGACGACCTGGAGTTCCACGTGCCCTCACACGCCCAGGACATGCTGGACGGCCTGCAGCGGCTGCGCTCCCAGCCCAGGCTGGCCGACGTCACGCTGCTGGTGGGCGGCCGCGAGCTGCCCTGCCACCGAGCCCTCCTGGCGCTGAGCAGCCCCTACTTCCACGCCATGTTTGCGGGCGACTTCGCCGAGAGCTGCGCGGCGCGAGTGGAGCTGCGGGACGTGGAGCCCGCCGTGGTGGGCCAGCTGGTGGACTTCGTGTACACGGGCCGGCTGACCGTCACGCAGGCCAACGTGGAGGCGCTGACGCGCACGGCCGCGCGCCTGCACTTCCCGGCCGTGCAGAAGGTCTGCGGCCGCTACCTGCAGCAGCAGCTGGACGCCACCAACTGCCTGGGCATCTGCGAGTTCGGGGAGCAGCAGGGGCTGCTGGGCGTGGCCGCCAAGGCCTGGGCCTTCCTGCGGGAGAACTTCGAGGCCGTGGCCCGCGAGGACGAGTTCCTGCAGCTGCCCCGGGACCGGCTGGCCACCTGCCTGGCCAGTGAGCTGCTGCAGGTGCAGCCCGAGCAGAGCCGGCTGGAGGCCCTGCTGCGCTGGGCACGGCATGACCCCCAGGCCCGGGCCGCCCACCTGCCCGAGCTGCTGGGCCTGGTGCGCCTGGACGCCGTGCCCCGGCCCCGCGTGCAGCAGCTGCTGGCCACGGAGCCACTGCTCCGGGGCTCGGAGGCATGTCGGGTGGCCCTGGCGCTGGGCCACGACGAGGTGAGTAAGGGGCGGCGGGGGGAGCCCTGGAGACCCCGCCTGGGAGGGGAAGCGGAGGACGGGCGCTCTGAACCCTGCAGCCCCACCTGCCTTGGGCTGATTGCCCGTGAGGGCGTCGCTGTGTGGCCCCTGGGCCCCCGTGCAGCCCCCGCCCTGGACGTGAGGGGACGGGAACCCAGAAGCGATCTTTCACAAAGCCCCGTCGGCGCCCACAGCTTGCTGGGGACAGGTCAGGGGTGGTCGGTCACGGAGGGCTCTCGAGAGGAGGCAGCGCCTTAGAGGAGGGACAGGAGTTTGGCCGGAGGGAAAGCGATCTGGGAAGACAGCAGGCTTGGGTTCCGCACCAGGCCCCACCTGCCCCTGAGGGGGCTCTGGAGCCTTCGAGGGGGCGGCTTCCCATGCGTGCTGGCAGGGAGCGTGGCAGGCAGGCAGCTCCCGACCCAGCGACGGACCAGGGTGTGACCGAGACAGGGAGCAGAGTCCTTCATCAGGGACTGCTCGGGGCCGGCTCTGCAGGGTTCCTCAGGGGCCGGCTCTGGGGACAAAGGTGTAGCTCAGGCCAGGGGCAGGGTGTCTGGTGGCAAATACCAACCTGTGCTACCGTCAGGCACCCCCAGGCACGGCGGGCTGCCCCAGGGCTGGCACCAGCGTGGAGCTGGCACGTCACCTGGTAGCTGCTGGCAGTGGGCAGTCCGGGGCTTCTGTGGAAGGGGCCAGAGAGACCGGGGGCCCTGGGGTCCCGGGAGCTCAGGGCAGTGGCGTCTGACAAACCAGCGAGGAGCCGTCCCTGCCTCCCCCGCCGGGCCAGGGTCATCCCGGGGCGGCACGCGACGCGCCTGCGCAGGGGAGATCTGGGGACAGAGTCGGGGTTGGCTCCAAAGCGGGTGCAGGGACGCCGCCGGAAGGCACGTGGGGACTGCCGGGGAGGAGCAGCTCTCAGGCTCGCGGCGCACATGCACCTGCGGGCCCGCAGCTCCCCCAGTCCCGAGCACGCGCCGCCCTCCCTGGCACCACGGCAAACTCAGCGCGTGCGCACCTGTGTCCGCGGGCACGCGCGCGCGCACACGGCCTGAAACTCACGTCGCGCGGCACGTGGGCGCCCGCACGGCTGCGCCGCCAAAGTCCTGCCGCGGAGGAGGCCTCCGAGGTCGGCGAGCACCGGGGGCGCCTTGCGCGGGGCGTCCGCTCACCTGCCCCTCTAACCCGGCCTCCCCCGCAGGCGCCGCCCGCCATCCCGCAGAGGCTGCAGGAGGTCCTGGTGGTGGTGGGCGGGCGGGCGCTGGAGGACGAGGAGGGCGCCGAGGAGCCCACCCCGCACCCCAGGAACTTCGCCTTCTACAACACCAAGGCCAGTGAGTGCCCCTCGCGCCGTCCCTGCGGTCCGGCGTGGGCAGGTGGCGGGGAGAGGTGCACAGGCCCGCCAGAGGCCACCTGCTGGTGTGCTGGGGCCTCGCAGGGGGCGGGGGGGGGGGCGCGACCGCCGGGCTGCTGTGGCCCCTAACTCTCCAGCCCCAGTCCCCAGCTGTGGCCTTCTGGGCCCTGGAGCCCAAGGTAAAGGCGTCTGCTGCCCAGACGGGCAGGATGGCCGCTGGCCTGCATGCCCAGCGGGACCCCGGCCCCAGGGGCAAGGTGGGCAGCTGGGGCGCAGGTGGCCCGGAGGGTGAGAGCCCAGGGGTGGGGTCAGCTCACACAGGTTCCAATCCCAGCCTTAGAGCAGGTCACCTACCCTCCCTCGGTGTGTCACCTCATCTGTGAAATGGGCTCCTCGCTTAGTTGGGTAGTGGACCCAGTGGGCACGGACTTGGCCTCTCCTGCCCGGGGCCCCATCACAGGGGTGGGGGCAGTGGGGTCTCTGCAGGGGCCATGTTGGCCCTGGGGAGCTCTTCCAAGAGCTCATTTGAGGCTTGGCGGGGGTCCTGGGGCCGCCGGGCCAGCCGCCAGCCTCTCCTGTGCCGTCCACGGCTGGCAGGCTGGAGGGAGCGTGGGGCCGGCTGTCCCAGGTCAGGGGCTGACGAGAGGGGATTTGGGGTCTGACGTCAGGACATGAGCTGTGCTGGCTCCGCCCGGGAGCAGCTGTACGCTGGCAGGCCCCACCCCAGGGTGACCCACACATGAGTCAGGGGGACACGCAGTCCCTGCCCGAGGGCAGGTGCCCAGTGAGGCCCGGAATTCTGCGTGTCCCGAAGGCTGTGGCGAACACAGCCTCCCCGGGGACCATCCCTGAGGCCTGAGTCTCAGCCTCCGCCAGCACCCAGAATGTGTCCGTTCAGACATTCCCACAGTCTCGTTTTTATTTTCCCCAAGCGTTTTCTCGTTTCTTGCGTCAGTTTACCTCACGTAGCTCCTTGAAGGTGGGTCCAGCACAGGTGCAATTACTCTGTCCCTCAGCAGTGGTGACAGTAACCCTAATGGGTACCCTCGCCCGAGCATGTGCGTTGTGACAGACACGCGTGGTCTTAGATAGTCCCCCACCCCCCGGGGAGGGGGAAGCACCCCTGGCCTACGGAGGAGGTCGTCCGAGGCCACACAGCCAGTGCACGAGAGCTGGGGTTTGGACTTACGCCGCCTGCTGCAAGGCCGGGTCCGACCCCTCCGCAGGGAGGCTGCGCACAGCACGGAGGGGGGAGGGAGCGGACGGGTGGATGAGGAACGGGCACATGGCTGAGGTTTGCGTTATGACCCACGAGCTACTAGAGATCGGGCGCTTGGGCCCGTTTCCCCATCTGACCGAGGTGGGACCCAGCCCAGGGGCCAGAAGGTCCACTTTGGGCCAGTGAGGTCACCTGCGGGGTCAGAGTGAGACCCGGCTTCTGGAGCCTGAGCCGCCTGCCGCAGCCCCGCGTCCAGTCCGGGTGCTGGGCTCCACGGGGCAGCGCCAGGCAGGGGCGCGTGGGTGCCCAGGGTGTGGGCCCCCCGCCCCTTGCTCCTCCCGCCCGCGAGGGGACCTCCCGGCACCCACGGAGCGGAAGGGGTGCTGAGGGGCGAGGGGGCCCAGTGGGCGGCGAGCGCAGCTGCCCGGGCCTGAGCCGCCCACCTGCCTCTCTCCCTGCCAGAGCAATGGATGGCGCTCCCCGACTTCCCCGACTACCACAAGTGGGGCTTCTCCCTGACGGCGCTGAGCAACACCGTCTACGTCACAGGTGGGCAGGCGCGGCTCCTGCCGGGCTTGGCTGGCGGAGGTGACCCCAGCGAGAGCCAGCCCCCCCCAGCTCATGGGGTCCCCGACACCTCAGTCAAGATCCCTGCAGACACTTCCATGACGTGAAAACGAGGAAATTTGAAATCCACGGGTCACGGGTGCGGGGAACCGTTCCACGTTCTGGGTGACGCGGGAACCCTGGGGTTTGCTACGACGGAGCTGTGTGACGGGCAGGAGGCCTCCCTCGGCGCTTGTGCACCTTAGATGTTGGGGGCCCGTCTAAAATTTGGTTGGGGAGGGACGCCTGGGTGGCCAGTCGATTAAGTGTCTGACTTCGGCTCCGGTCATGATCTCACAGTCTGTGGGTTCCAGCCCTGCGTCGGGCTCTGTGCTGACAGCTCGGAGCCTGGAGCCGCTTCAGATTCTGTGTCTCCCTCTCTCTCTGCCCCTCCCCCGTTCATGCTCGCTTGCGCGCGCTCTCTCTCTCTCTCTGTCTCACTGTCTCTCTCTCTCAAAGTAAACGCTAAAAAATTTATTTTAATTTGGTTGGGGAAACAGCTCTCACTGATGAAAGTCTGAGACCATTGATCTGCCCCCGTCCCCCCATTTACGGGGCATGGAGCCACCTGTCCTGGTCACATAGCTAGATCGCCACCCAGAGTCCTGCCCCAGAGGAGAAGGGACCCGGCACCCACTGGCCTGGGGAGCCCAGGCTGCCGGGCGGCTGAGGGGACAGAACTCTCTCCTGCAGGCGGCTCCCGGGGCACCCAGACAGACACCTGGTCAACCACGCAGGCTTGGTGCTTCCCTCTCAAGGAGGCAGCCTGGAAGCCAGTGGCGCCCATGCTGAAGGCCCGCACGAACCACGCCAGTGTGGCGCTCAACGGGGAGATCTATGCCATCGGCGGTGAGGCCTCCCCCTCCCCCCTCCCCCGGGGCCTCCTCCCGCCCCTGGGAGCTCGCTCGCCAGCTCGGCAGCCCCTGGGGGCCTCTCAGCCCTGCAACAGAGGCTCCCTGCGTCCATGCCCTCCCCAGGGACCCGGGAGCCTCAGGGACCACGGGGCTCGCTGTCCGGAGTGAACAGGCCACCCCCCCCCCGGCCAGCCCGTGCCACCTGCTGCCTGGGTGTCCTGGGGCGAGGCTCAGGCCCCCGTAGCCAGCTCCCCGTGATTCTGGACACACAGCAATGGCGGCGGAGAGCACGGGGGCCTTGAGCGGCCGGCAGGGACGGACACCCCATCCCAGAACCTTGGCCCTGCGCCCGGGGTCACCCCCTCCGGGAAGTCCCTGGGGTGAGGAGACCCACAGTGGCCCCCCTTTGCTGTCACCTTTGAGTCCACCACACCCCCAGCCTGAGCATGGAGGCCGCCTGATTCCTCCTTCCCCCCAGCGCTGTGACAGGGACTCACCCCAGGGACCCTTGCAGTTAGATAAATACTGGGAAAGAAGACAATTGTGGCCAAGCGAGAGCTTCCCAAGGCCTCTGCAGGTGACAGACTGGCCTTGAGGCCACTCGAAGCACAGCAGCCGGACCCCAGAGCAGGGAGCCACACGGCTCCTGAGCCCGGGGCCAGGGGGCAAATAGGAGTGGCCTCGGGGCCCCCACCTTGCAGTCTGGAGTCCAGTGTCTCTGGGTCCAGGTGCCCACCCTGCTTGACGGTACGGCCTTGGGCAAGGGCCCTCGCCCCTTGGAGCCTCGGTTTCCCCTCTCTGTGAAATGGGATAGGTCACCCGCCTCGCTAGGCTGAGCCCTTCCCCTCCCAGGAGGCTCCCCGCCGCCTCTGCAGGGCCCCCAGCCCTGCCTTTCTTTCCGGGAGCTTTCCCTGGCCCCTGGCGGCCCTGACCCCCTCCCGGCCCGACAGGGACCACCCTGGACGTGGTGGAGGTGGAGAGCTACGACCCCTACACAGACGCCTGGACGCCCGTCAGCCCGGCCCTCAGGTACGTCAGCAACTTCTCGGCGGCCGGCTGCGGCGGGAGGCTCTACCTGGTGGGCTCCAGCGCCTGCAAGTACAACGCCCTGGCCCTGCAGCGCTACAACCCCGTCACAGGTGGGCAGCAGAGCCGCCGCTCCCTCCCTGGGCCGGGAGGGGGGGGCAGGTAGCCGCAGGCCCCCCCAAGTGAGTGGAGGGCGGGGGCCCGTGGGGAGACCAGGGGGGCCAGGAGCAGGCAGCACGGCCACAGCCCCGCCAGAGGTGGGGGACACGCTGGAGGAAGGCGGGGCCTGGGGGGGTGGCGACAGGGATGGGGGGTGGGGAGGGGATAGCCTGCCCGGAGCCGAGTCCCCATGCTGGCCGAGAGGTAAGGGGGTGGGGGCGGCGGCGGGGGGCCGTGTCCTGGCCCTGAATGCTGCCTGGCCGCCGCGTCCGCCTGGAGCCGGCCTCCCAGAGCCACAAGGCTTGGTGGTTTGGGCCCCCGCTGGGCTCCCTCTGGCTCGGTGGCCCTCCTGGCCCCGTCTCACCCTCTGTTCCATCCTCTGGATGGTGCAGGTGATAATAGACCCGTCTTGTAGGGTGGGTGTGAGGATCCCATGGGAGACCGACTGGACCCAGGGTCGGTGGGGGGGCCCCAGACTCGGCCGGCCGGGTGGGAAAGAGGCAGAGGCCCCAGGGACCTGAGGACACAGCTCTGAGGGAGCCCTGCCCCCAGCCCCAGAGGGAGAGTGGGGCTCCCACCCCCGGCAAGAGCTTCACCCCGGGACCCGGGGAGCGGCCACCCGGCGAAGGCGGGCCTGGTGCCATGTCCCCACAGACTCGTGGAGCGTGATCGCCTCGCCCTTCCTCCCCAAGTACCTGTCCTCGCCGCGCTGCGCCGCGCTGCAGGGGACTCTCTACCTGGTCGGTGACAACACCAAGAAGGTCTACATGTACGACCCCGCGGCCAACCTGTGGCAGAAGGTGGGCCTCAGCCTCGGGGTGACCCCCCCCACCCGCCCCTAGGACTCTCGACATCAGGAGAGCAAGCCTGGGGACGGTCGGTGTCACCACAGGGGGCTGACGGTGAAGGGGTTCCGGGACGGGGGAGCCGAGCACCCGGGCTCCTGGCCACCGTGGGCGTTCCGTCCCCAGCGGCGAGGGGGGGTCTGTTCTCAGGGAGCAGATCCAGGCTCCCGCAGGGGTGCTTCAGGGACGGCTGTGGCTGTCCTGGTGGCGGCCGGGCCCAGGAGGGAGGGCATCCCCTGCCCTCCTGGTGGCCGAACAGGGATGGGGCGCCCTTGGCTGCGGGTAAGCTGGGGGCAGCCAGCTCCTTAGTGCCTCCCCCCCACCCCCCGCGGCCCCAGGGCCCAGGGAGAGAGCAGGCGCCCGGCACCTCCAGCCCCAGCCTTTCTCCGCGTCCCTCCCGGAGAGAGAGGAGGGACGGTGCCCGGAGCCACGCGGTAGCAGGACACTCCGGGCCGCCGCCCCTGCCTCAGGTCCTCAATTCCTGGAGGCCCGAGGAGGTGGCGTGGCCTCCTGCAGCCGGTCCCGGGCAGGCTGGGCGGGCGGCCGGGTGACAGCAAGGCCCCTGCCGCCCTGCTGCCCGCAGCTGTCCCCTGGCGTCAGCGCTCAGCTGACCGGAGGCCCCCATTACAGTGCAAAACAGGTGCAGGGGGCCCTGCCAGGCCTCTGCACAGCCCCGGCCACTGATCCGGGGGCATCCCGGCCACGCAGCTCCACTGTGTCCAGGCCCACGGCGGCGTGGCTGCCCGCTAGCGTCTTCGTGCGGAGGCCGCAGCCAGGCCCCTTCCCTCCCGCCCACACTGGCCTCTCCACTGGGCCCGCCTGCCTCTGGCCTCACAGCCCCTGTCCAGGGCACTCCCGAGGCCACAGCTGTCCCCTCCAGGAGAGCAGCTGTGATCAGAGGCCCCGCCCGGAATGTGCGGGAGGGGGGGCAGCTCCCCGCACCTCTAACACCCTGACTTCAGACGCGAGTGGCTTCAGGCCTGGGTGACCGAGGGGCCTGGGAACATCACGCTGGGAGATGTGGGCTGGAGAGAGAGCACCGAAGGGGCCGTCTGAGGGTCCTGGGGGCCTACGGGGAGCTTGGGTGAGGTGTCCTGGACAGGGCGCTGGCTGTCCTCCCTGCGTGTCCCCCGGCCACTGCCCCCGCCGCCGGGCACTGACCGCTGCCCACCCCCAGGTGCAGCCCCTGCACAGCCTGCACGAGAACGGTGCGCTGGTGCCGCTGGGCGACGCGCTGTACGCGACGGGGGGCCGCTGGCAAGGCATGGACGGCGACTACCACGTGGAGATGGAGGCCTACGACCGCGGGCGGGACGCCTGGACCCGCCACGGCGCCCTGCCCCGCCTCTGGCTCTACCACGGCGCCTCCACCGTCTTCCTGGACGTCTCCGAGTGGACCCAGCCCTTCAGCCCCGCCCAGGAGCACTGAGCAGCCACGCCCCCCACCCAGGGGATGGCGCCCCTTTGTGTGCCGCCTGTCTGTTCACCTGGTGCTGCCCCCTCCAGGGCTCAGGCCGGGCTTGGGCCACCAGGGACGTCGGAGGACACAGCCTTGGTGCCCGCAGCCGCCGCACTAACTCTGAGCTGACCGGCGGCTTGGACTCTGGCTGTCTGCCCACAGGGTGTCCGAGGCCTCACACAGAGGAGCCCGGGGGAAGCACAGGTGGACCCACGCGTGCTCTCCAGGTGCCACTGCCCCAGCCGTGTCCCAGTGGTGGCTTCTGGGAGCTGCACCACAGAGCGAGAGACCCTGGGCTGGGGACCGCACCCGCGTCTGTAGGCCTGCCTCTGCCTGGCCCTCAGCTGTGTGACCACGGCTGGCCGCTGCCCCTCGCTGGGCCTCAGGCCCCGCGTCTGTGGCACACTGCGGAGGGAGGAGGCAGGGCAGGCACCCAGAGGGTCCTCTGCCCGTGTCGGGGCTGAGGGAAGAGACGGTGAGCAAAGGCTCCCCAGGGAGGTGGCGGAGGTGGTGCTCTGGGGCCAGGCTTTCCCCCGTTGCTTGGGGTGGTTTGCTCCCACGGAGCATTGCGGGTCCCAGCGGCAGACCCACGAGGGGAAAGGTGGGGTCCTGCAGGGATTTCCGGGGATGCCTCTCGGGCGCTCCTTGCGTCCAGGTGGCCTCCTGAGCGAGGGGAGTGGCCCACGGGCCCCTGCCAGCCTGTGCTGTCACTTGGGGGCCTCGGGTCTGCCCCAGAGCGCCGGGAGGCTGACGGGGGTCCCACGCAGACCTGGGTCAAGCCTCCCTGCTCCTTCTCACCGGCCCTCAACAAGGTCTCTCCCTCTGGGTGCACACTGGCCCTCCCACTGTGTCCCGAGCTTCATCAAGAGACCCAGGACTACAGGTCGGGAGCCCTAGGTCTGGCCTGGCTCTGGCCCTGGCACTGAGGGTCTGAGGCATGGGGGGCCCCCACCTCCCTCTGGACCTGGGTTTCTTTGACACCCACCGGGGACGAGAGGGGCCACTGACGTCCCTGGATTCTGAAGAAGGAATCGCTGGGTTCCTTCTCATCCACTTTGCCCCCAGGCCTGGGTCCTCGCCGAGAATGGCATTGGTCTCCCAGGGCGGAAGCCGAGCAGGGCGTCCTAGGTGCCCGCTTCCCAAGGAGCCGGAGCCCCAGCTCTGAGGACACCCAGTCAGCTGGTGGAGTGGGCGGAAATGAAGATGAAGGTCCCTGGGACTCTTGAACCAGCCCTTCCCTGCGAGAATCTTCTGAAATGTTTCCCGAACGCTTGTCGAAGATACTCGGCCAAACACTCTTTCAAAACAAAGACTCAACGTATCAAATGGACTTCTTTTAATCACAGTTGGGGAGCCGGAAGGCGGTATCTTAGATAAGGCCCGCCTCTGCCCCTGCACATCTCATGACCATGCGGGGAAGCTCCTGGGGTCGGGGGGCCAGGCCTAGTCCTCACCTGCCAGTGCCAAACTGCCCGTCATCTGACCCGCTGAGCTGCCCCGTATGGCACCCCTGGGTCAGGCCGACTGTGTTCTCCAGGGCCACAGCGGGAAACCAATGACTCTTCAAATGGAGCGACAGAGGACATTTTAACCAAGGGCTACTTCCGAGGCGCAGGCCGGCTGGAGGGACTGGGCAAGGGCTGAAGAGGCTTTGGGGGGGGGGGACGTCACCTGCCCTCTGCCCCCAGGGACACGGGAAGGAGCAGACACAGCCTCTAGGCAGAGAGCTGGAGGGAGAAAGTGCCAAGGACGGGGGCCTTTGCTAAAGGAACGCAGCCCGTCCCGCTGTCCCCTGTGGCCCCGTGGGGACAAAGTGGCAGAACAGACACGCCGACCTCCCTCTCTTTCCTGGTCTCCTGCGGGTGCCTTCCCGTGTCCAGATCCAACCAGAGTCAGAGGGAGAACAGGCCATTGGCAGAGAGCAGGCAGAGACGGCGCCAGGATGGGCGCATGGAAGATCGCTGTCACACTGACTGCACACAGGGACCCTCACGGGAGGCAGGCGCTAACGTACGTCTGCACAGGGTGTGTCTGTGGAGGAGCCTGGGCCTTCCTGTCCCGTCCCTGGGAAACAAGGACGCGTCGGTTGGGGGCCAGTAGGGACTTCTAGAAAGGAGAATGGAGACCCTTGGAACAGGTGCAAAAGCCCGCCAAACTCTCAGGCCCACGGGAGTGAGCCCCCCGGCCCCAGGTGGGTGCACGCTGTCTTTCGTGCAGACGAGGTTGGGTAAACTGAGACTCCTCTTCAGACCTGAGGCTTTGGTCTCAGGGGCCAGCCAACCCAGGCTCAACGGCCTTTGGTTCCCAGATGAGCCAGGATGCGTGCACCCTTCTGGCCACTTCTGCCGGACTCAGATTTTCCAGTACCTCGCAGACAAGACCCTTTAATTATTGAGCATATTTCCTGTACTAGGCAGGGACAGTGACTGCTGGGATCAAGCAGTCGACAGTCCCGTGTAAATATCTGTAATAAAAGGACTGACCAAATGACGCTCACTGTGGTCAATTCAGACCTCTACTCTACTCCAGTTGGTTGGTCGACCAGTTGGCCCGGTGGAAAGTATGACTTTTGACCAGGAATCTGTGACTTAAGGACAAGTTGTTGCAGCCACAGAAAAGGTAAGGCTGTCCGCCCCTCCAGGGCCACGTCATTCGTGATTGATCCCCAGTGCCGGACACTCGGCCTGAAGTGTGGCTACTGTTGCGTGTCCCCCAGGCCCCTGGGTCAGGCACACGGCGGGGGGGCGGGGGGGGGCAGGCACGGCTCTGATTAATTGCAGGAGGAAGAGAGCTGCAAAGAGAATCTTCCAGCTTGAAATAAGCACCCCAGGAGCCAGTGTCACTTCCTCACCGCTAATCTTCTGTCCTAGGGCTTTTCAGGGCCAGCGGCTGGGGTTATTTAGATCACTGTCGCACTTAACGAATATAATTCTTCTCAAAGTGGCAAGATGGAGCCACCAGTATGTACCCTCTTACATTAAACTCAGAGGTGAACTAGACTGGTTTTTTAAGTTAATTAATCGAAAACACGGAAACGATAAGCAGAAAATAAACCAAGAGACCCTCCAGGTAGAAGTGAGAAAGAACTCTTCCCCTGCCAGACCTGAGGCGGCCCACAGACCTGTCCAGGACGCTTACTCCCAGCCCTTGACCCGTGCCTGGCACGTAGAGGGAAACTGAGTTCACCAAAGGAGTTGCTGACCCCAAGTTGCAAAGGCTGGACCTGGATGAGTGACCTTGGGCCAGTCCCAAGATCTCAGCCTCAGTTTCCTCATCTGTGCAACGGGGGTAATCACACGATTTGAGAATGAGATGATGTCATATGTCTGGAAGGTTGCAGTAAACAGCAAATGTCGCCTGCCTGGACATTGGGAGGCCACACAACAAGTTGACTGCAGGCTCCCACTGTTTTCGGGGGCAAAGGGAGCTTTTATTCCCATGACTTCATCGGCAAAGGTCCTTCCTTTGGAGGAAGAGAGAAGAGCGGGAACAGCTTGGCTGCAGTGGGCTGACGGGGAGCCAGGGCCGAGGCGGTGACATGAGGGCCCAAGAATGAGGATTAGGTTTCAGCCAGGCATGAGCGTGCGTGGGGGAGGCCGCCTCGGGCTCCGTCCGGGCCTCCTTCCGTGCCCCTCGCTCAGTACTTCAGCCCGGGATCCACGACCTCAGCGCCGGATGCTGTCCCCGCTCTGAACCCCGGGCTGCTGCTGCGGGGGCCCCAGAGCCCTGTTTCTGGGGGCCCTTGACCTGGGGGAGTCTTTGCGGAGCCCCGCCCTCCTCTAGTGGACTTGTTTTCTGAAACGTGACCCCAGAAGCGTGCAGGGTGCCCCACATGCAGGCCCCGGCACCCCGCACTCCCCCCCTGGGCCCGCACCAGCACCAGAACCGATTTGATTTGGGCCCTCCGGCTGGGCCCATGACCTCACTGGGATTGTTCACTGTTTGGGAAAATAACTGGCTTCCACGTGGCAACAGCGCCTGTTCTCCGAGCGGCCTCAGGCTGGCCGGGGCTCCCCACTGGGAGCTGGAAATGGAGTCACATGAACCTCTTAGGGACCCCGTGCCCCAGACTGGGTCCCTCCATTCCCAGGAGTCCCCAGTGTTGTGAAAGGTGACAAAGCCAAAGCCCCACCTTTCTGTGGTGTAGGCTGGGCCAAATGGGCTCACGCCACCGTGGACAGAATCCAGGCCAGCAGCCCGGAGCGGGCGGCCATGCAGCCCGGCCTCCGCGCTGGGGCCACTGTCCTCCTGGCCTTGTCTGCTCACAGCTCACGTCTGACTGGGGTCCTAGACAAACCTCAGGGGCACTGGCCACTGTGCCCATTCCACAGAGCCAGCAAACTGAGTCTCAGAGGGATGGGTGCTGAAGGCCCCCGATGGCCTTTGCTCCAGACGGCCAAGCACGAACCAGGCCTGCTGAGCAGACCCGCGGCTGGGTCTGCGTTGTGTTCCCATCATGCTCTGCCACACAGCAAGGCTTGGAGTCTGAGGACAGCCCCCCGCGACATGGTGCTGATGGCCTAGGCCAGGGACCCTCGCCGCTGAGGCAGCCTGGAAGGCAAGCAGGCCTCGCTCACGGTCCCACGCAGCACCCACCGTGACCTCCGCTCACATGAGGGGGCCGGCTCCTCCCGAGGGCACGTGTCCCTTAATCCCGGCACCCAGGCAGGGAAACTGGAAGGAAGCTCCAAGAATCTCCAGGACAGACTGGCCGCCACCAGCCGGGAGGCAGAGCCACGGCTTCCAAGTGGCCTCCGAGAGAGTCCTCCTCCTCCCACTGTGAGGGCCGCTCCCGTGGCATTGCTCCCCTCACCCCAGTGGGGAGTGCTCCCTGGGTTCAAGCGTGGCCAGCCACGTGAGTTTCCCTGGCCTGCCTTCCGTCACAGCCAGACCCCCACGGGCAAATGCCTACACTGCCTGCTTGTCTTAGGGAAAAGACAAGGTCACATCAGTCACCTTCAAGCTCATCACGTAGCTCCTATTTCTCACCATCCAGAAAAGGAAGGACCATAACGGGCAAATCTTGTGGCTGCGAAGATGTGAGCGTGCCCAGCGGGCGAGAGGGTTTGGCCCCGCCCCCAAGCCCGGGCTGTGTGTCCCCGGGGCAAGCCCCTCACCTCTCTGGGCTAGTCAGTGTGGTCCATGAAAAGTGGATGAGACGTGGGTGGGGGCGTGCTTTTTCAGAAACATGAAATTACTGTTCACAGGCTGCAGGTTCTGGCAAAGAGAACACACCCCACGCTTGGCGTCCTATGGTCCCAGATAAGGTCTCCCCGAAAAAAACAAAAATGAACAGAATTTTAGCAGTGAACACTGAGGCCCAAGTCCCAGCACAGACAGGCATGTCCTTACCAGGTTCTACACACCCAGCTTCTTAGACTTTCCTTGTGGGACCAGAAGTGAGAACACACCCCAGAAATCCTTAATTCTTTGACCACGTTATGATAGCCTCCTCTGTTTCGGGAGCGAATGTCCTTATTAGCAGTAACAGTGCTGAATGTTTGCAGGTGAAATACGTCATTATTTTGTCGAACACGTGTTATGTAAGCCAGTGTTTCTCAAATGCCTTCTTGAGCATCTGCAATTTCTGTAGGAATTTCAGTTTTTCCTTCTACTGATAATTCCATTTTTGGTCAAGATTAAAAACAGAACTTCTCTGTGGCAGTCTTAATTTGCCTCTGAAAGATAGGCTCACAAAGGGGCGCCTGGGGGGCTCAGTCGGTTAAGTGTCCAACTTCGGCTCAGGTCATGATCTCACAGTTCGTGGGTTCGAGCCCCGTGTCAGGCTCTGTGCTGACAGCTCAGAGCCTGGAGCTTGTTTCAGATTCTGTGTTTCCCTCTCTCTCTGCACCTCCCCCACTCATGCTCTGTCTCTGTCTCAAAAATAAATAAAAACTATTAAAAAAAAGATAGACTCAGGGGCGCCTGGGTGGCTTAGTCGGTTAAGCGTCCGACTTTCGCTCAGGTCATGATCTCGCGGTTCGTGGGTTCGAGCCCCGCGTCGGGCTCTGTGCTGACTGCCAGCTCAGAGCCTGGAGCCTGTTTCAGTCTGTGACTCCCTCTCTCTCTGACCCTCCCCTGCTCACGCTGTCTCTCTCTCTCTCTCTCCTAGAAATAAATTGAAACGTTTAAAAAAAATAAATAAAAATTAAAAAAAGATACACTCACACAATCAGTCTATGGGACACCGCCCCCGCCCCCGAAAAACAACCCCAACTCTACCACCGTACTCACATCCTACAGGAAAAGAGAATCACAGAACAATTAACACCGAATACCAGGCTTTTTCTAAAGTATGAAATATTTCCTGTGTTCCCCACCCCCCAGCCCCCTCCCCCTCCCCCTCCCCTGTCTGGTGCAGAAAGCCAGCCACTGAAACAGGGCACCAGTGGGGGGCTGCTGATTTAGGATTACCCACCATCGCTCCCCCTGGCTAGGGAGGCACCACCTTGCCACACTCTGAAATAGGACAGCGGGAGGTTCCAAAGAGCTGGGCGGCAGACCTTTGGAAGGTGCAATCCTTAGCTGGGCCTTCCCCCACTCTTCAACAAAGGACACTGTGTGCCCACCGGATGCAGACACCTCGGTGCTGTTCTCATGCCCTTACCTTCCACGGGGAGGCAGAAAGGCAATGGGCATGTAACAAAGCAGCCGGAGGGGTGAGGGGGCTGGCTCTTCACACGGAGGAGCCTGGAGTTTGCCTGCGGGACCTGGCGCCCCGGGCCCTGTGCCGGGCTCGGGATCCGCCCCCACCCCGGCTAGGTCACCACGGGACTCAGTCCTCAAGTCTGCGCAGGGGGGCTGCCCGGGCTGTGGATTCCGCCGTGCCCCGCCCCCCAGGCCCCTGCGGGTGCCCCTGGATGGGTGGGACGGCGCACTCTGAGTTTAGGGCATCCCAGCCACGGGCAGCGCCGGGGGGGTGGGGGGCACCTGGGAAAGAGGCATCAGGTAGGGTCTTTGAGTGTCTTCCCCGGTCCGGTGCACCAGACCTGTGCTGGCAAGGCCTGGATCTCACGGGCGCCTCTGGATAATGGGGATGCGATGCCTCGAGGTCCCCACAGGCCACAGGGAGGAAAGGATGCTCCCAGGCTCAGAGGAAGGCGGCGACCCGGCTCCCCGTGGAGAAAAGGCTGTCGAGACGACAGAGGGTCCAGGGCCAGAAGAAGGGGCGGCCCGGCTCTCCTGGGAAGGGCTGGGCAGCGCAGAGGAACGGACCCGGCGCCTGGAGAGGGGGCGCTCTGGCCAACGCGGGCGAGGCCGCCCCCTGCCCCCCGCCCCCCCCGCGCCCCTGTTCGCTCCCGGGGTCCCCTCCCCGCACCTCCGACCCCATCCCGCGGCCCCCCCTCGTCGCCCCGCCCCCCCCGCACCGCCCTCCTCGGCTGCTGCGCCCCCTCCTTCCCGGCCTCCTCCCGGCGCACTGCCCCCACCTCCAGGGCGGCGCCCCCCACCCCGCTCTCCACCTGCCCGCGTGGCGTGCGCACACACTCACACGCGCGCGCACACGCACACGCACCCGCACACCCGCTGCAGCGCGCGCCGGGGCCGGCAGGGGGCGCAGGCCCGTGACGTGCGAAGGGCGAGGCGGGGGATTCAAGCGCGTTATAAGGCGCGGAGCGGGAGCGAGGTCCCGTAGACGCCGCGCTCCGAGCCCGGAGGGAGCCGCCGCCCGCATGGCCCCCGCCCGCCGCCCCGCCGGGGCCCGCCTGCTCCTCGTCTACGCGGGCCTGCTGGCCGCCGCCGCGGGCTTCGGCTCCCCGGAGCCCGGAGAGCCCGCCGAGAGCCGCGCCCGCCGGGAGCCGCGGCCCGGGAACGAGCTGCCCGCGGAGAACCGCGCGGGGCCGCCCGCCCGCCCGCCGGTAAGACGCAGGACGCCTCCAGCCTCGGTTTCCCCAGCCGGAGCCCGCACCCCCCCCGAGTCCCGGGGGGCACGGAGGGCAGCGCAGCGTCCCGGGCGGGAGTCCCCTTCCTAGCGAGCGGTGGGCGCGCCGAGCCCGGGGCTCCGGGGAGACGCAGGGGGTCCGGCCGCGGCCTCTCTGCGCAGCCGGGCGCCGTGGGGGCGACCTTGACCGGGACTTTGGGGTCGTTCCGCGGCATGAAGAGCGAAATTCCGCCCGCCCCAGGTCAACCGCCTTTCCTCTGGGGACAGAAGGAAGTTGGGGAAATGGGTAAAATGTAAATAACCGGACTCTCCTGAAATTGGGAAGAACGTATTTGTGAAAGTGACCACCGTCCCCCGAATTTATTAGGTGCAGTTCTCTCTTGAAAACAACAAAAAAGTGACTCCCTTTCGGTCTGGGAAGCGGTGGAAGTGGTGTGTGTGCCGTTCCCCTAATGACCCGTGGCCTCTGGCCCCCAAGGGGTGATCTTGAGCTCGGCCCTGTCCTTCTGCGGAGCACAGTGCACTGCGGTGGGGGGGGGGGGAGGGAGGGGATTGGGGGACCTCAGAGGAGCCCTCAGCGCTGGGGTTCGGCTTACATTGGAGCCACCAAGGCCAAGGCCACCTCCTCCTAAGAAGGCGGGGGTGGCAGCCAGCCCCAGGGCTCCCTGGGAGGAGCTCCCCGAAGTCCTCCCACTGCTGGAAGCCAGGAAGGCCAACCCCACCCAGACAATGGGCCACAGTTTCTGGGGGAGGGTGGCCAGATGTCAGGATACAGTCACCGGGAAGCACGACGCCTGGGTGCTCCCCGGAGGGGTTCTGGCCTCTCTTTGTGGGGCCCACGTGGGCCCAGAGGCTCCCCGCCTCCTTTCCGAGAGCCCCTCAAGGCTGGAGACCTTGGTGGGGCCAGGACAGCTGCCTGCCACCCACCCACACTGCCACAAGCCCGTCCCCCCCCCCGCCCCAGGCTGACACACCGCCGCCTGTGTCTGCTCCCCTCAAGCCAAACTGGGGTCCGAGTCCAGCTGGGAGTCCATGGCCCAGCTGGGAGGGTCACCTTGGCGCCCCCGTCCAGCTCGTGTGGAATCCTCTGGGGGCGCATTCCCGCCAAAGGCAGAGCGAGGCCATAAAGTGGAACCCGGTCCTGTGTCCATGCTGAGCCATCAGTAGGACAGCACTGAGCCGGCCCACTGCCCAGCAAGCCGCCGGGAGGCCCCGGGCACTCGGAGCCCTTTCTCTATCCAACCCCAGGCTCCTGTGACACGGGGGGCCCCGTGTCCCCACCGCAGCACGCCAGCTCCGGAAGGGAGGCCCCGGGCCCTGCGGAGTGGCCAGGAGACCGCCAGCTCGGTCTCTGAGGCAGGTGCCTGCCGGCGCTAAAACCCTGGGTCCTCCTGTCAGCCACTGGTATTGGCTTGTGACGTCACCTGTGCCCTTGGGGCACTTCCTTCCCAGCTGGTGGCTTCCCCTGGAGCCCAGACACCCTGAGGCCCACTGACTGATGAGCCAAAGGCCTCTGTGAAAGGCGCCTCGGGGGAATTTTGCTCAGTGTCAGCACTGGCCGGAAGGCAGTGTGCACAGGAGTGGGTGTTTCTGGAAGCATCCCTGTGCTTGTTTTGGAGATCTTGAGGGAGCTGAGTGGCGTCACATGGCAGATCAGTGCTAGGCCACCGCACCTCCTAACTGTCCTGTTCTGTGCTGGAAGCTTCCGTTTCCCTGATGGCTGCCGACACCGGCACTGGCACCCTGGACCCCAGCAGGGGCCGCACGGGTGGGGGGGTCTGATGAGCACAGTTGCCTCCTCCCGAGCACTTGGGAGTGTTGCTGGTCTCCCCCAGCCCAGCCCAGCCCCTGTGGGGGGAGGCCGGAAGAGGTGGCCCGGCCATGCCAGGATTGTCACCTGCTGCAGGGCTCCGCACCCCCACCCCCGCCCGCACGGCCGAAGTCCTCTTCTCCCCCACAGTCCAGGCTGCGGTGTGGCCGGTTACCCTCCCTGTGTCGGGAGGGCGGGAAGTTCGGGCTGGGGGGCCGCGCTGCTGACTTTGAGGACACCAGTGTTGCCGAGCACCAGGCCCCAAGGGTGCCGAAGGCCGGTCCAGTGCACAGTGACGTCCTGAAAAGTGTCCCGTCTGCTCTGGGCGCACGTGCCGCGGGAGGCAAAGCAGCCTGACACCGGCTGTGTTCCAGGAGCCCATGGCCGAGGGCGCCCGGCCCGTCGACCCCCGAGACGCCTGGATGCTGTTCGTCAGGCAGAGTGACCGCGGCGTCAACGGCAAGAGGGGGGGCAGAGGCAAGGCCAAGAGACTGAAGGTGAGCACAGGAGCCCCGGCAGCGTGCGCGTGTCCTGGTGTGTGTGTGTGTGTGTGTGTGTGTCCGTCCTGGTGTGTGTGTCCTGATGTGTGTATGTGTCCTAGGGTATGTGTGTGTGAGTGTGTGTCCTGGGGGGCGCGTGTGTGCATTGGGGGGGCTTGTGTGTCATGGGGGCCATGTGGCTAAGCGAGGGGTCTCCACTTGTGGGCCCTCCCTGCATCCGGCCCCACCATCACCCCCTTGCACCCTGGCCAGCCCCCCGGTGCACCCTGGGCAGGGCCAGCGAGGACAGACCCTCACCCTTGGCCTGGGGTCAGAGAGCACAGAAAGTGCCCAGCTGGGGTCCCAGGTGACCCGAGTTTGAGGCCTGTTCCTGTCATTTTCCCTGCACCCCCAGAAGGGCAGGCAGCCCCATCAGTGACCCCCTTTCTCTCCCATCTGCATCCTAGTGCGGGAGGCGGGGCTGGCCGGGGAGGGGGTAGGGGAGGGTTCCGGTCAGGCTAGAGTGACACGCTCTCTGGTTCCCAGCAGGTGGGGAGCCTGGGGCCCCTGGAAACTGTGGGTTCCCACTCTCACTCCTCGTAGCCCGAGGCCTGGCACCTTGCCTTTGTCCCCTGGGGTTGGGGGCTCCGGGCCAGGTTTGTGTTGCTCACACCAGGCGTGGGCTTCTCTGCCCGCCCAGGGCCGGGGTCTCAGCCAACACTGGAGTGCCGGGTTCTGAGCCACCGGGCTGTCACCATGGCCTCACCTCACTGTCACCCCTTGGAGCCACCAGGCCCCACGCCAAGCGAAGCCGGGGCTCCCCCATGCTCTTGCTTGCCGGGGACTTGCTTGCTGCTGTGTTCGGATCCTCCCCAGCCCGGCGTGGCCTCTCTGAGAGCCCAGTGGGGGCTTGGCCGACCTGCAGTGTCCCTCTACCGAGGAACCCCCGTGTCCCCACTTGGTTCCCCTGCCTGCTCCTAGCCCCGTCACCAGGGGCCCCACCACCAAGCCAGCCCTAGGCCTGCAGCACAATCCAGTCCTCACACTCAGAGAGCCTCACTGCTTCCTCAGGGGAGTCCGAGGCCCGGAGGCTGACCTCCACCCCAGGGGTGAAAGCAGGGGCCCGCCTTGCCTGCTCAGAGGTCCTCACGGCTCAGCTTCCTTTCCAGCTTGGTCTGCCTGGGCCCCCAGGGCCCCCCGGTCCCCAGGGCCCGCCTGGCCCCATCATCCCACCTGAAGTGCTGCTGAAGGAGTTCCAGCTTCTGCTGAAAGGTAGGGAGATGGTGCACCCACATGGACACGCACCCTTGTGTACGTGGGGCCACAGGAGGGTGTCCCGGAGGAGCGGAGATGACTGGACGTGCCCGCGTGGGCCAGCACTCAGGGAGGCCCCTGCTCTGCGACAGCGGGCTTGGGGGAGGCTCGGGGTCCAGGTGGGGGCTGGGAGGAGTGTGGTAAGAAGGAGGCTTCGCAGAGGAAGGTGGACTTGACCACTCGGGGACCAGCACTCCACCCCATCTGGGACTGGGGGGAGCCCAGCCGAGGCCAGGGGACCCGTATCCCCCAAGTGGGGCCATCACTGAGGGATCAGAGCTCCTTAACTCTGCAGAGTGCTCCTCTGATCACATGGAAACCGTGGGGATTACTCACCCTGGGTGACACAGGCCCCTGCTGAGACCCCGGCCTCTCCCCTAGGTCCCCTGTGTCCCCGCCTCTTTCCCTGGCGGCTCTCAGCTGCTGGCCAAGAGCCCCACGCCAGGCAGGGATGATGGTGTCCTGGGCAGCACAGGGGGGTCAGCGGGGCTGAGCCGTCACGTCCAGGAGATGGCCCTGCGTTCCGGCAGCTGCTGAGCCGCGTCTCTACCTACCGGAGTTCACCTTATTAGAACTTTATTAGAGCCTTTCCTCCCCTTCAAGTCAATATAAGCAGAGAAGACCATAGCGTCAGGGGGAGGCGTGGGCCGGAGGACCTGGGCATTAGGCGTGATGTGAGTCCGCCCCGAGCTTCCCGGTAGCCAAAGCTTGAAGAGAAACCGGAGCAGCCGTGGGCTCGGGAACCCACGTCTCCGCAGGCCCTGCAGGCCGCGAGGGGGCCTCCCGTGGGTCCCGGAGCGCGGGCGCCGGCGCGTTGGTCGCGTGCGGTCCGTAACGGGCGAGCGCCGGGTTCGGAGCAGGGCTCGGGGACGCGGGCGGGTGGGCGAAGGCGCGGCCACCGCTCGTTCTGCGGCAGGCGCGGTGCGGCAGCGTGAGCGCGCGGAGCCGGAGCCCTGCACGGGCGGCCCCGCGGCGGGCGCGGCCACCCCCCGGGAGGACGAGGAGGAGGCGGCCGGGGACGCGGGCGTGCTGGCCCTGCTGGCCGCGCCCCTGGCCCCGGGCCCGCGGGCGCCGCGCGTCGAGGCCGCCTTCCACGGCCGCCTGCGCCGGGACGTGTCGGTGGAGCGGCGCGCGCTGCACGAGCTCGGCGGCTACTACCTGGTGAGCCCGGGCCGGCGGGCGGGGGCGGGGCCGGCGGGCGGGGGCGGGGCCGGGCTGACCTCAGTGCGCCCCGCAGCCCGACGCCGAGGGCGCCTTCCGCCGCGGCCCCGGCCTGAACCTGACCAGCGGCCAGTACACGGCGCCCGTCGCCGGCTTCTACGCGCTCGCCGCCACGCTGCACGCGGGTGAGGCCCGGGGCGGGCGGGGTGGGGGGTTCGCCCCCGTGCACTCGGGCCCCCCACCACGGCGCCCGTGACCGCCCCCCCCGCCCCCCGCAGCGCTCGCCGATCAGCCCCGGCGGGGACCGCCGCGCCCACGGGACCGCCTGCGCCTGCTCATCTGCATCCAGTCCCGGTGCCAACGCAACGCGTGAGTCGGGGGCGGGGCGGGGGGACTCCGACACCAGACCCGCCCCCTCCCCCTCCCCCAGCTCTACCTGGCTTGGAAAGAGACCCAGTCCGCAAGCCCTGCCACACCGGCCCTGGCGACCCCACGCCTACTTCCTGATCTCGAAGTCGCTCCCGCCCCCCTCGGGCCATCCTTTCCCAGCGGGGAGGGGGGGTGCACCGTGCCTGCCCCAACACATTCCCGCCCTCCCCGCCCCCCTCACCCCCCTCACCCGCGCTGGGAACTGTCAGTCCCCTGGAGGCCACAGTGTCTCCTCAGTCGCCTCTCCAGACCACCATGCAGCCCCCCAGCCCATCTCTTCTGCCGAGAACTTGCTTCTCGGCCGTCCACTCCGACACGATCCTGCCCGCCTTTCCCTTGCGCCTGCACCCCCTTGCGCCTGCACCCCGGAGGGCAAGGGGCGGCTCCCTGTGTGTCCCCGCGCCCCCAGCGCCCCCAGCGGAGCCCAGGCACAGAGCCGGGCTCCATGGCGGTAGGAGGCGGAGTTCAGAACTTCCCAGTCGCTGTTGCAAACCTTCCATATATCGGCCGGAACCCCCTGTTCTGGCGTCACTGCTGCCATCACACCCCCACCTCCAGCGGCACCAGCCTGTGTCCTGTCTGCAGCAGAGCTGGGACCTTCCAGCCCCTGGCCTGGGCCCAGGCTTGCTTTCTGCGCACTCGCAGACCCCCTTTGGCCCTTTGGCGATGTCCTGACTCAGATGCCGCCCTCCGCCAGATGAGCTGGCAGGGACAGCTGTTCCTGCCGCACTGAGCCAGGCCGGTGTTTGCTGGGGTGGCTGTGGGCACACTGTGGGTGAGGTTGGTGCCGTCCGGGGGGTGCGGGCTGACCATCTTTCCGTTTGGGCTGTAGCTCCCTGGAGGCGGTCATGGGCCTGGAGAGTAGCAGCGAGCTCTTCACCATCTCGGTAAACGGTGTTCTGTACCTGCAGGTGCGTGGGGCGGGCGCGGGGGGCACCGCCTGGGCAAGGCTGGGGTGCTCAGGGTCTCTGGGAGCAGTGCCTCACACCCCAGGCCGCCGCTGGCAGACCTTCCCGGTGTCCCACACTGAGGACTGGGGCCCCCATAGGGACAGGCGGCAGGAGGGAATGGCGGCCGGCCCCGTGCCCTCAGGCTGACGCTGTATTGCCCTGGGCCCGTTACAACTGTGGGAAGCAGATGTAGTTCCTTTACACGCAAAATCCTGCGTGACCGTCGCTGGCACTTTGGCAAGTGACAAGCTGATGTAAAGGTGGGATTTACTGAGAAAGAAAAGCTGACGTGCAGATGTGTGGAGTGACGGCTGGCCTTAAGTAAACAGCAGTGTGCCAGCCCCCCCGCCCCACGCATGCTTCTGTCAAGAAATTACACTCGCTTTGAGGTCAGTATTGCTGGTATTTCTCTGTTCGTGGGAATGGAAAGGTTTTTTTTTTTAATGTCTTATTTATTTTTGAGAGAGAGAGACAGCGTGAGCAGGGGAGGGTCAGAGAGAGAGGGAGACAGAATTGGAAGCAGGCTCCAGGCTCTGAGCTGTCGGCACGGAGCCCGACGCGGGGCTCAAACTCATGAACCGTGAGATCATGACCTGAGCCGAAGTCGGACGCTTAACCGACTGAGCCCCCCAGGCGCCCCCGGGAATGGGAAGTTTCTAGTTAAGTATAGTTGTCGTACGTGTTTCCCCTGTTGACAAGCAGGGGAGTTGCGGACGCGCTGGGAGGCCAGAGCTGTGGATGCTGTAAGGGATAGGAGGGCCGGGCCCCGGGGCTGCCGGGTGGCACCTGGCCCACCTGGGGTCCTGAGATGCAGAAGGTTGGGGGAGACCCCAGTGTCGGGGGGCGGTGGCCCCCGGGCTGACCCTGACCTTCCCTGCAGCAGGGGCAGTACGCCTCCGTCTTCCTGGACAACGCCAGCGGCTCCTCCCTCACGGTGCGCAGCGGCTCCCACTTCAGCGCCGTCCTCCTTGGCGTGTGAGCGGCCGCGGCGGGCCCTTGCTCGTGCCCGGCCCACAGAAGCGGGGTCCGAACAGTCTCCGGGCGGCGTTGGCGTGGCTGCCGGGGGAGGGGGCACGCGCAGGAGGAAGCCCGCTGGGACTGCCCGCGTGGGCACCACAGCTCAGCCCAGCGACGGCCCAGCCACCGGCAGCCCAGGGAGGGGACGTGCCAACTGGCACCAGCAGTGACCTCCGGAGGCCTTTCAAGATCAGGAGGGCCCTGTTGGGCTGCTATTTGGCAAATGTTTCTAGCGCGACTCCGCGCCCAGGAGTACTTGCTTCGTCTCGGGGAAGCACGGTCCCAAGTTCACCTCGGTGCCGTAGCTGTGATGGACCGGGAGGCGAGGCGGGGGGTCCTGTGAGGAGACACAGCTGTCCACCTGTAGCGCGTTTCTTCCACGGTGTCGCTGAGAAAGTTACACGGCAGCCCTGGGCAGGGCGGCCGCAGGGACGTGGTGCCGCAGGTGTGCGGGGGGCCGTGCGTTCGGGCCTGCAGAGGAGTGGGCGGCGGCTGCAGTCACTGGAACCATCTGCTGGCTTCAGGATGGGGACGGTCCCATGTCTGACGGAGCTCCCAGGGCACACAGCTCGCATCCCCTCTCGGAACCCCAGCACCTCCCTCCCGCGGGGACTGGGGGTGGGGCCCGGGCACGGTAGCCGTGAACCAGTCACTCGCTGCCCTTGGCAGGCCTGGTGCGATTCTCAGTAGGACTCGTACCCACCCTACCAGGAAGGGCCGCTGCCCTGGGTCCCGCCTCGAGTCACTGTTTGATAAGGGCCGCTGCGGCCACACCCTTCTCTGGATTTCCCTCTGCGTCCGGCGGGCACGGGTGTTTTAGAGAAGTTAGCTTTTATCCTGGAAACTTCCATCCTCTCAGTCTAGTGTATTACACAGCTGTCTGCTGAAGTATTTATTGTATGATGACGTATTTATATAAATAACTGACTTCATGCCGTGCTAAGAATTCTTGTTTCAGGGCCATCCATGCACAGTTACAAAAACAGCGCAGACGGGAAATAAAGAACCTGAAACATTTGGGCCAGGCCCACTAAGGATGGCGGAAGTCTGGGGGCCAGGTGGAGGCTGGCTCCTGCCCTGGGCGGGCCTGGGCCCCCTGAAGGGGACAGTGCAGGGGCGGGGGCTCGCCAGGGAGGCCTCCCAGAGAGTCACAGACCGGCTCAAGTGTGCCACGTGAAGATGCTGACTGCATCCAGTGTTGTTTTTGGGCTCTGGGTAGCTGGGTCCCGGTCTCCAGGGACACCCCACCGCGCAACGTCCCGGTCCCCAGCAGGGAGCCTGGCTCCACACTCCCAGGGTAGGGGTGTGCGCAGAACGCAGCAGGGGTGGGGGGGGGGGTGTGGAGACACCAGCTCCACTAAGGGCGAGGAAGGGGTGATAAGGCGCCTCTGGGGGCAGGGCCGGAGCAGCGGCCCTCAGCCAAGAACGCCCTGAGGCAAAGCCTCGCAAACTTACATCAGCTGGAGGCAGAGGGCGGAGGCTTGAGGCCCGGGAGCTGCTTTACTGAAAGTGACAGCAGTCACGTGACTGCTCTTGGATTCATAAGGATGGAGAAGTATTTGTTTATTGCTGCAAGTAGGCTAATTTGCATTTTTAACATCGTCACCAGAAGGGTCCCCCTCTCAAGCATTCTCGCGGACCTCAGCCCTGCACGGCCAACTGCACGTGCATCCTGGACACTGGCCGCTGGCCTGACTGCTCGGACCCTGAATGTGCCCATTTCACCCCCAGGGGGGTCCAGATGGGAGACCTGGGGGAGCCGGCACTTCAGAGTCCTGGGGCCCAACTGCGCCCGTCGTCAGTGGGATCAGAAAGCCGAGTTCCACGTCGTTCGGGGGGGGCCTGTCCACCCCCAGCTAAGCCCGGCACCCCCGCCACACGGTGTTCTGCCGCCTTGCTTCGCCCGGAGAACTGAAAACAGCCGGAGGCCTCCCACAGCCTGTCCGCGCAGGTCACTCCCTCGGTCCCCCGCTAGGAGGTGCCGCTGCCTGACCAGGTGCGTTGAGGGTGAAGCAGCGCAGGTGAGGCGCCCGTAAACTACGCATGGCACGCGACGAGAAGCCGTGGTCACCACTGTGGGCCCATCCACGAGCCACAAGCCTCGACGGTTCTACCAAGGAGAGACCCAGGGCACATCTGGGGGCAGATGCGACCTCTGAAGGGCCAAGTCACTCAAAGGTAATAACTCAAGAGACTAGAAAAAAAACCGAAACCTTTATTTACAACCACGGGGGTCCCACAGGAGTACACGACACACCCGTGGCGCGCGCACGCGCAGCGGGCCTCCGAGGCCAGCCCCGCGCCCCCGCGCGCCCTCACTGCCCTATCCGCACCAGCATCACCGTGACGTTGTCCGCCGAGCCGCGCTGCACCGCCTTGCTGGCCAGCCTGTTGCAGGCTGCCTCGTAGCGCGCGTCCGCCGTGGGCCTCCCTTCCCGGCTCTGGATCTTCTCGTCCTACCGGTCAGCAAGGGGCACAGGTGGGCGGGGGGGTCCCGGCCGCCCTCCGAGACGCGGCCTCCACAAGGAGGGGCCGCAGGACGCAGGGACCGGTGAGCCCCGGGCTGGGCAGGCAGCGGGGAGCAAGCCCCCGGGACGTCCCTGTTGCTAGAGCCCAAGCGCTGCTCGCTACTCGAACGGGCGGCGCCCGGTGAGCTCTTACCTCCAGGCAGGACAAGATGAAGTTGACGGCTTCTTCTGGGGTAAAGACCTTGAAGAGGCCGTCACAGGCCAGCAAAATGAACCTGTAAGCGGAAGAAGAAATATAAACAGGTTTTAGCAGCAAACTATAAACCGGCTTGGCGATGCAGGTAAAATAATACTCGTCCGACTACTCGAAGGGGCCGTGGAAGGGAGCGTCCCGAGACCCTGAGGTTGGCAGGCGGCCCGCCCGAGACAGGCTAAGCTGGGGGGAGGGAGGGAGGAAGCGCTCTCGCAGGGCAGAGGGGGCAGGGTCGCTCGCAGGGCTCAACTTGAGCCTCCCGGGCCGCCCATCCCGCCCTTCGACCCCTTGATTCAGGCAGCTTAGCGGCGTCTCTCCAGGCCCGGCTCCGCCACCCCTGCGCGACGATTCACACTCCTCCGCAGGGACCCCAGGACCCCTCACCACCCACCCCGAGCACCCTGGTTGTCATTCCTCCATCGCTCCCCTTTATTGCCACGTGCCTGGCCGTGTGTCATGCTGTCCCACTGCAATGGCTGTGCACCTCCCCTCTGCCAGGAGGCCCTTCTCTCTCCAACAGCAACAGGGTCCAAGTCTCCCAGAGCACCCGGTGCCAGACCGCCCCCCCCCCCCAAATGCACTCACCTACCTGACTGGGGAGCCCACGAGGGCAGAAAGCACTGCCAGGCCGCGGCAGTGCCCGCAACAGGGCTGCCCCACGCAGCCTTGGTTTATGACGCCAACTGGAAGTCGGGACCGTGGGCACGCACGCCTGTGCCTCTGGCACGGCGACTCACCTGTCATTGGGGGTCAGCTGGCAGCGTCTGATGTCGGGCACAGAGGTGACCCCACAGCGCTTGTACTGCCCGTCCCCGATGGAGCGCGACACCTCCAGCACACCCAACACACGTCCATCCCTAAAACGGGGAAACAGACTCTGTGTGACAGACTGTGGGTCCATGGTCCTTGGAGGCAAGAAGGTGAGCCCACGGCGCCCTCACCGCCCCCGCGCTGCCAGCCTTGGCCTCCGAGAACCGGGACACGTCCGTGTGCTCCGGTGGCACTGCACACCCTCTGGCTGGCACAGGGCGGCCCCCAGCCCGCCCTGCTGACTTGCCTACAGCCAAGCAGGCCAGGACAGGTCTGGGGCAGACACCCCAAAGCCCCTCAGGCAATCTGGGCATGCAGCCGGGGTTAAGAGCTGAGGCGGCGGAAAGACACTTTGTACTTAACCTGACCAACTGGGAAGTACCTGCGGGTAACTGGTCCCAGATTCTGAAGCACCATTTTCTTTACGTGGGCTGTGAACATGACTTTTCTTACACTGTATTGTATTCTGCACATTAAACTTCTACCCATTCCATTTTTAATTATTTTTTAATGTTTTATCTTATCTTTGAGAGAGAGGAAGAGACAGCATGAGCAGGGGAGGGGCAGAGAGAGAGACACACACACAATCCGAAGAAGCTCCAGGCTCTGAGCTGTCAGCACAGAGCCCGACGTGGGGCTCGAACCCACGAACGTGAGATCATGACCTGAGCCAAAATCAAGAGTCACACACTTTTTGGACTGAGCCACCCAGGCGTCCCTACCCGTCCCATTTTCAACTGAGGCATCCAGAGGTGGGGAGGTGACCTAGAAATGGGCCTGCATGTCTATCAGCAGGGGAAAGGGCCCCCCACTTGATGCCCCGAGAACAAGTCTGAGGGGCCGACACGCTCTGCAACCTCAGGCAGCTGCAAACCGCCAGGCCCTCTGCCCTCCCTTGTGAGACCAGAGGAGGGACATGCCGGGGAGCTGGGGTGCGCGGCAAATGCCTGAGCCGTTCACGGGGCCCACACAGGCTCCCTGAACGGTGGAGCCATAGGCCGCAGAGGCTGCGTGTGGCGGGACACCCTCACTGGCCTGGGCCGCTGTTTGGAGCCAGAACCCAGTCCTCCTGGCCCCTCGCTGTGGCCGCAGTCATCCTCCCGGCGGGTGCCTCCTGCCGGCCTGACGCGTGTAACCGTGGGAATGAGCAGCGAGAGGCACAAGGTGCACAGGAGCAGAGCGAGGAGCTGCGGGGAGGGGCGCCCTCGGAGCGCTGACCGTGAGGCCGCCCGCGGCGCGAGCCCCACAGGGACCCTGGCCCGCTTCCCCGACACTGGGCGCAGCGGCAGGTCCCGCAGACCCGCTGAGCGCCAGCAGCTGCGCACAGAAGCCGGGGAAGGGGCTCGGGCGTGAGGCGGAACAGCAAGGCTGGGTCACCTTCACCGGGCGTGTCCCACGTGCTGCAGGAGCCACGGCCGACGAGCACGGGCCCAGAAGAGCCACCTGCACTTCAGAAAATGGCGCGGCCGGCTGTGCCGCACTCCAGCCTACAGGACACGCCGCGGGAAAGCCAGCCGTGAGCTCGGGACGCAGATGCCCCGCACGACCGTCCTCACGGAGGGGTGAGGGGCCCGGGTGGACGTGAACGCTGACGGTGCAGACAAACGGGGGACCGGGCTCAGCCAGGAGGGACCCTGACAGCCAGCGCGGTCTGTGTTCCGTCTGCAACAAACCTTCCAATGGGTCAGCCGTGCACACGGTGAAAATGTTCACCACCGATTCCAGGTGGCAGATCTTGAAATGTTTTACTATTTTACATTTTTTCCGAAGGTTTGGAAGTTTCAGTAACACCGGTGGGAGGGAGGACTTGGAGGCAAAGACTGCGGGTCCGCCGCCCTGAGCCGCCGGCCCGGAGGGGGGGGGCTTGTCCTACGCCACACTCAAACGACACCTCCAAGGCACCTACGCCGCTCTCAACTACGTGGGGACTGGGGACAGGGTGACCGCCACACGGCTGACCTTCCTGTCAGCCAGGGACTGTCAAAAGTCCAAATGCTCTCGAGGAGTCGGGCAGAAGCTGTTAGGAGCTCTCGGACTCCTCTCCGCAGCGCTGGCCAGCAGCAGCCGGGAGCGGCAGCGAGGGACCGCAGCCTGCCCGGGCCCCCGCCCCCAACCCCACAGAACATCAAGCGCTAAGGGTCACACTGGAGGACCAACCAGCCAACGCTCTGGCCAAAGTCCTAGTGCAGCGGGGCCTCTCCTGAGGTCAGAGAAGGCGGGAGAGGGGAGCTGCCACCCAGAAGCGGCACATTTAAACCCGGGCAGCACGCGGCCGTTGAAGGGGTGGAGAGGGAGACGGAGCTGCACACAGAGGCGCCGTCTCCACCACGTCAGATGTCCCCTCTCGAGAGTCGTGCTGCAGCTTATTCTGTTGTGACAAACGACAGTGCTCACGAAAGCTCCCGGGCGCACGGCGCGAGACCCTAGCACCTCCGTTCCCGCTTCCCCGGCTCAGACCTCGGTCTCCTCGCTGCAGCCCTGCGCACGGGAAGTTCTGCCCACAGAACCCCACCCCCACCCCACCGCAGGAGGGAGCGGCCGTCCTGCCCGGAGCCCCCGGCCCTGTTACCTGACGTTCCCGCCGGCCTTCTGGATTCTCATCCGCTCCTCGTACTGGGTGGGGTTGTGCTCCTTGCTGAGGCTCAAGGCCGCGTGCTTCTGGCTCTCCTCGTTAAACCGACACAGGATTGCCTGCGAACACAGACAGGACAACAGTCATCAAGCTCAAAGTTACCAGGTGATGAGAAAGGTTCAGGTTCAGGTTCAGTCTCCTGCTGACAAACAGGAGTTCGGAGGAAAGAAGTGGCACAGAAACCACGGCCAGGGAGGGAGGGGCCACGCTGCGGGCCGAGTCTGGTGCCAGCGTGGCGGGCAGAGCAGCTGGTGGCCGACCCCCCGCAGGCCGCTGCTTGTCTGTGACACGCAGTGAGGATGACAGGCCCCAGGGGGCGTCGCGAGGCGCGGAGCCCACTGGAGGCGGACCGGAGGGCAGGAGAGCGGGCCAGCCAACGCCTCTGTGTGTCCCCACCGCCATGTCTGCGGCTGGAGGACAGGTATGTGCCTGAGGTCACAGAGCAGAGGCAGGACACAAATTTGAATCAGGCCAAAGTTTTTTTTTTTTTTTGCTGGTTTTACTCATGTTACTTATTTAATCTCAACACACATGAAGTAGGGCCAGTCCACACCAGAATATAAAATCCACTAGCGTCTGTGATGCTCACTGCTGTCGGCCCAGCACCTGGTATCTACATAGTGATCACTCTAAACATGGGGGGGGGTGGGCAGCGGTCTCCAGATGCTGCCTAAGAGCAGGAAGGGTCACCTGGTCACCATGACTGCTGGCAGAGCGCCAGGCTTGCTCAGAGGTCCAGCTGTGGGGGGCGAGGCGCTGAGCCGGGCGGCAGGGCGCAGCCCCCCAGCTCTGAGCCATTCCCCACAGCGGACGCCGAGACGCTGGGTGCCACCCGCGGGCAATCGCAGGCTTTTCTCTCTCGGTCACGTGGACCGGGCTCCGGACAGGGCACCACCTAGTGCTTCGTGGACCACTCGTGACTTATTCTGGAACCACGATGACGCTGAGAGGCCAGGGTTCACACTCCACCTTCATCACCATCTGAGGTCTTCTGACCCACAGCCCCATGAGACAGCACACATACCCACCCACCCACCCACCCTTCCCAGGGCCCAAGTGAGCCCAGAGAGCAAACGGCCACCGCCGGCCCCCTGCCCAGAACGTGGAGGCTGCAGGAGCCCCGGCAGCAGCCCTGCAAGAGACCTCAACCCGCCACCACCGTCCGCCCCGCTGGGCGCACGCCCACTGTTGCCGCCACCCCGCGCGCCGTCCTCCTGGGAGCACATACCCGACTGTCTCCGAGGTTGGCGATGTACAGGATGTTGTCCACAGCCAGGACACACGTGGCAGTGGAGCCGTCTTTCCAGGCGGGCTTCCTGGGGGAGGGGAGACACATCAGAAACCGGTCACCACCAGCACTTGGAGACTCGCTTCCAGAGCTGAGTGGTGGGGGTTACACTCCAAGCGCAAGGTAACTGTTACGAGCGCTCACTTGGTGGCAGGTGCTCTTCAGACAGTGTCAGAAGACCTCAACTGGGTTTAAGGAAAACCACACGTGTGTGCACACACACGTACACACTTTATGTGATTACACTCACTGGCTTGAGGCTTGTTTAAGGAACTCTTCGTCAGTATGCTTAAAAGTGTCCAAAAGGCATCTCTTCACGGTTTTCTCGACACTGATCACATCTCCTGTTAGGGAAGGAACAAGACCACATGCTCTCAAGAAGGGCGGGTTTTCCTCCTGCTGCCATTTTGTTTCTGTACTATGACCACGTCTTTACTTCCTCCCCCAGAAGGCAGGGTCGGCGCAGTCTGTTAGTCTTCCAGGTGCGAAGGCAAACACCTCACGCAAAGTGCCGGCACGCAGACATCAAGTCCAACTCCAGGCACCGACTCCACGGCCCCCACCTGCCCCCCTCAGGGCCCGTTCCCCTCCCCCCACCTGCCCCCCTCGGGGCCCGCTCCCCTCCCCCCCACCTGCCCCCCTCGGGGCCCCGCTCCCCTCCCCCCACCTGCCCACCTCAAGGTCTGCTCCCCTCACCCCCACCTGCCCACCTCAGGGCCCGCTCCCCTCACCCCACCTGCTCATCTCAGGGCCCGCTCCCCTCCCCCCATCTTCAGAGAGCCACTGATGGTGCTCGGCAACATGACACATCTTCCTGATTTACACCAACAGCAAACACCAAGATGAACATGAACCGACTCTATTCTAGGTCTCACCTTTAGGAAATTTCCTGATTAAGTTCTGATGCAAATTCTGTGCAGCAAATTTTGAGGCTCGAATTCCTCCGTGTCCATCAAAAACAGCAAAATATGAAACCCGAGTACTGGAAGAAAGAATCGCAAGTTACTGAGATTTTCACAAACATTGCTCCTCTCCACGAAGGTTTCTAAATCTTATTTCAAACCCTGAGCATTAAGACGACTGAGGACGTCCCCTAAGACACCAGCCACACTGTCACAAGTGAGAAAAAATACACCACGTTAACTGAGACAAATGTGGAAGTAACTTTCATGGTAATTTTTAAGTTCATTTATTTTAAGTGATTTCTTTTTTTTTTTTTTTTTTAAATGTTTTTATTTATTTCTAGGAGAGAGAGACAGACAGCGTGAG